AATTTCTGATGTTACTATTGTTGTTCTATTTGATTCATTTCTCTTTGATACGCATTCAGGCCAAGCAGCTTTCCAACATGCATTTAAAGTTTGTGATTTTATCTCGGCAATTGCTAACGCAACATGATCTACACAGTTCAAGATATTAAATTGTTTCCAAACTTCAGTAACTGTTATTGTATCGGATTCCAGTTTATCGAAAATGAATTGGAAAGTGAATTTTACATAATATTTTTTAAATGTTGAAATAATTCCCTGATCTAATGGTTGAATTAGGCTCGTTGTGTTTGGAGGGAAAAAAACTACCTTTATATTTGGATGTTCTAAGTTTGGATGACCTGGTGCATTGTCAAGAATTAATAAGATCTTAAATTCGAGACCCATCTCTTTCATATAATTTTCTACTTCGGGTACGAAGCATTTATTGAACCATTCAGTGAAAATAGCCGTTGTTACCCAGGCCTTCTTGTTTGCCATCCAATGTACGGGCAGTGTATTTAAGTCTTTTCCTTTTAATGCACGTGGTTTTAAAGATCGATTTACAAGCAGCGGTTTTAACATTCGATCGCCAGATGCATTGCTGCACAGCAATAAAGTAACTCGATCTTTAGCAGCTTTAAAACCACTGGCATTTTTTTCGGACTTTGCAATGTAAGTACGGGTTGGCATTTTTTTCCAAAACAATCCTGTTTCATCAGCATTGAAGATTTGATGGGCACAATATCCTCCATCTTTAATAATTTTAGCCAACTTTTCAGGATATTTTCTAGCAGCTTCTTCATCTGCAGAAGCCACCTCACCTTTTATTTTTAGATTATGAAAAGAATGTATTTTTATAAAACCAGTTAACCACCCTGTGCTGGCAGAGAATTGTGGATTACTTTCACGTGAAGATGTAGATGGCTCTGATTCTTTTAACTCCTTGTAAAATTTAAGGGCTTTCATATTGATTAAATGTCCATCTAACGGAATTATTTTTTGAGTTAAATCTTCAATCCAAATTACGAGAGCCTTTTCTGTTTTTTCTATTAAAGTGCCTCTTGAATATGATGAAATTTTAGAACTCAAATTTGTACCAGATCTGACTGATCTTCTTATTGCCGCTTCATTTTTTTTATTGCTCTTATAGTAGATTCGCCTAAATTATAACGTTTACCTATTGCTGTTGATCTTTCTCCTTTCGCCAAGCAATCGAGAATTATAATTTTGGTTTCTAGCGAAATTGCACTTCTTTTTTGTTTTTTATTATTGTCACACATTTTCTTTAAGAGGACTAAAAATTATAGAAAAAAACTTAATGTACAATTACGCACTAAAATTATTCAAAAAAACTTACAATTCACTTGAGTAAATTTATCTTCCGATTTTCGGTAGTAACCTTCTTTCACAAAGTTTTATTTTCTAATGCTTTCCAATATGCAGGCTTTTTTAATTAGTTTCATACAAAAACAAAATGCAGCATAAAAACACGCAATTTTAACGAGGTATTTTTGTTTTTGTCTCTTTTGTTTTTAAGAACAAATCAAGAGAAAACATGTCAATAAAAGAAAAAAGAAATTTGTAACGGCAGCTGGCACGCCGGCGGGTTTTCAGTTTTGATTTCGGTTTTGTACGAGTTGTGTAAGACACCGGCAGGCGCGGAATAAAAGACATTGGAACTTCCCCTCTACTGTTTGTTGGATAACTTAACATACAACCAGGACGTTACAAAATTCTTTCTTTGTATTGATTGCGTAATAGTAGAGTTGTAGTTGTTATTCTTATTCGTTTTCAGAAAAAGTGAGAGAGAGAATCACCAAAAAAAATTATTTTCGAAATTCGAATAAATTTTGTTTTTCTTGCACCGCATAACTCCAAAACCGCATAAAAAAAACCGCATAAAAAGAGAACGAAGTGTATAGTTTTAATAATTGATTTATATATTTTTTAAAATAGCCTATCGTCTTCCCCGTATTTTTTTTTTACCTATGTATGGAAATTTTGGTTTTAATTAGTGAACTACTGCGAATTTGTATACCGGACATACAAACAAACAAACATACAAACATTGATTTTATATATATATAGATATCAATAAATACCATGGTATATAGTCCTATAACCCAATCGCTCATGGTTACCATTCAAAACTTAGAACACCCTCTTTGAATCAACGAGGTTAAAAAATGAATCAAACAACTGGAGGAGAAGCTAAGATGAACAGAGTTCATCAACAAAGTTCATAAACAACAATAATTAATTTCTCCCGCGTGCAAATCCATAAACAAGAAATAAAACGGTCGACAATCAACTTTTTAAAAAGCCTTTATTGATACATAGTCAATGATTAATGGGGAAAAAATGTAAAACAAACGGTATATGTTATCAAATAGAAAAAAAAAACTTCCGCAATAAGTTTGTCCATAATTGCTTCTTTTTTACTTCCAAAGTACTCGTGGTAGAGGTCATGATAATCATGGTGGATAGTTAGTAACCGCTCTTACTGTAAGTGCATGTCCACATATGCAGAAAGCAGTTCGACTTTTGTATTTATAAATGTACCAGGTCCCTGTTTGGTTAATTGCGCTCACTGATGGAGTTGGACTTTTTCAAGAATCGCTGGTCATTGAAGCAATTTTTTCTTTAAAAAAAGTACCCAATGCAGGATTCGATCACGGGTGTTCGAAGGTATGCACCAACCCTCCCTCCAATATTATTGATACCATTTTAGTGAACTAAAAGGGCAGTCTCTTTCGCTATAGAGAGGTTTTACTATATATAGCACACACATACGTCTTTATTAAGACATAGACTCTTTTACAGGGCTTCGCCACGGAGTCTACAAAAAGAAATATTGAGAGAAGTAAAATAAATTTACATTCAGCGATAATAATGAAGGTTATATAGAGTAAAACCTAATTAAAAGACAATATTATCGTGAACGTTTTCCTATATAGTGTGACATATGGCTTTCCTTTTCACAAGAGCAAAGACGACGTGGGTGGTAGTTAAGGAAGTACTACTGGCCCAGGGGGATGATGAAGGGGACAGCTGACAAAGAGACAGGTGGGAGAGAAGAGACAATCTGGTGACATCTGCGGTGACAGAAGACGCAGCAAGTTGTCTCTGTGTGTGTGACCGTGTGGATGATCCTGGAAGAGGATGCCAGAAAAGCTTGCTCGACCTGGACGGCTGTTGGCGAGGAAGATCCTACTGGTGGTGGACACTGGAGACATCTGATCCTTATTTCTACTAGCAGATACTGGTGATAAAGTACGTCGTGCTAAGCTGTATCTACATAGAACCTTCCCATCCCTGTACACTTTTATTTTTCCATTCATCATTACTCTTCACAATTCATCCTTTCATACTTCATCCCTAAGGATAGAAATAGTCGTTATTTCTCCTTAAAATAATGAAAATTACGATTTTTCGTTCTGTAAAAAGAAACATTTGCGGTAAAATTTGTTAAAAGTCGTTCTATAGAACCTTCTTGTTATATCGAAGCCTTGTACGCAAACAACGAGGGCTGAAAGCGTCGCAACAAATCTAAATCCGCCGTTTCCTGAGAGTTATTGGCCCTCTCTAGACCACCTTCGATTACATTTCAGTCAATCCTGGTGACAATCTGATTGGCAGCTGATTCAGCACCAAATTCTCAATGGGAGATGGTTACAATTAGAAATTATTTATTGACATCTTGACAATTACATAGTGACACAATTATTAGTACAATGATAAGATGATGTAAAAATAAACATATGAATGCTATATCTATATATAAAAGTCAGCACTTCTTATTCTCGATTGCTTACATATAAGTTTATGTCAAGCTCTTTCTTCTTTCCCCTTATATGATACATTGTGAATAACATTGCTGATTGTTGTTACTATTACTGTTATTTCTGTTAATACCCTGTTCTATTCGGATAATCTGTATAAGACTAAAGGTCTTAATAAAGCTTTTTGTGTCGTTGACAATTGAAACAAATTTTATTGACTTCTTGTCAATAATTTACATTAAAAATGGAAATAATGAATAAACTAATGTACAGATGATCATGCGGGGGATGTGCCCCGGCGAGTGAGCCTTCTTTCCCAGGCGAAGAGCGGGTCCTCTGCTCCTCCGGTCAGTCTAACCTGTACGAAGTACCGGTAGATGATGGATTTGGCCGACGCCAGGATGGCCAGGTTGTCATCTTCGAGGCCAGACCCTGCTTACTGTTGTATAAAAGTCAACGCATATATGTTTATTTATTTATGTGTTCCACTTCCTCAATGTTAAACCAATATGGCAGAAATTTTAACAGGATATAGAGCTAAGTCTGTAGAAGCTACAAAATAATGATGATAATATTGCTACATCATGTTTGATGGGCAGTAACAAGATTCATTCGAGAAAATTTCATTCGAGCATAACAAAGGCGACGCAGGTCATATATAGGTGAGAAAATAAAAAAGCACAATTTGTATTATAGCTACAAGAAAATAAGACCTCATCCAAATAAATTAATAGTGTGTGATGTGTCGGTAACAAGCGTTGTTACCGAAACGTTACATACTTTTAATTAATTAAGTCTTATTTTTCTTGTAATATGAAAAAAATATTTAAAAATCAAATAATAAAAATAATGTTTTAACTTATGGTCATTTGACAAATTTTAACTCGGGTAAAAACAGGGCGAAGCCGGGCACATTCGCTTTTAACAACATAAAATAACGGGAGGACGATAATCATATACAGAAAAAAAGCTGCACATCTCCCTTCAATCATGCATTAGAGAAAAACTTATGTTTATCACATTAGCACAAAAGGTGGTGATAAGAATTGAGATGCAACATCAGTTTTGGCAAATCCAGACAAAAAACCAACCTGTATACCATTTATTAAAATTATACCGCGAATGTTTCTTTTAAAAATCGAAATTTATTTTCAAAGAGAAATAGCGACATTTCTAACTTTGAGATGAGGTATGGAAAGGTGAAACATGAAGAGTAATGGAGAACGGAAAAATAAAAAGTGTCCAGGGGCGGGAATCGAACCCACACCCTTCTGCTTACCGGGCAGGTGCCTTGTCCACTCGGAAAAATACGTCCAGGGTAGCCGAGTGGACAAGGCACCTGCCCGGTAAGCAGAAGGGTGTGGGTTCGATTCCCGCCCCTGGACACTTTTTATTTTTCCGTTCTCCATTACTCTTCATGTTTCACCTTTCCATACCTCATCTCAAAGTTAGAAATGTCGCTATTTCTCTTTGAAAATAAATTTCGATTTTTAAAAGAAACATTCGCGGTATAATTTTAATTTTCGTTTTACAATCATCAGCCGCGTTATATTGTATACCATTTATTATTATTTATTTATTATTAAGTTGTTAACGTGATAATTCTGTTGAAGGACTGACAAGTCCGAAATCTTGAAAATGAAAAGTTGCACAAGAAACTTAATCCTGGAAGCTTCATTTATTTTATAACTGTATACCACATTTGTTTATGGCTTTGTCCCTCATCAGTACAGGGGCGGCTTTGATTTCTTAACATTCTACGAGAGGGAGTTATGAAATCGGTCGAATTTACCAAACAGATGTTTAAGATGGTAATGTGGCAGGAGTCGATTATCAGGCTGAAATTACAGCTTAAAGTTGGATGGTATTCATATACCAAAAGAAGCACGTCTCTCTTTAGTCATTTTTTCTTATCCCTAGTACACGTGGTACAGGCCATGATAATCATGGTGGGTAGAGATTGATGACTGCTTTTACTGTAAGTGCACCACATGTCTACATAAGTGAAAAGCAGTTCGACTTTCCACTTATAAATATGCCAGAGTCCCGTTTGATTACTTGCACTCGCTGGTAGGGTTGGACTTTTGTAACCTGCCTGGTTCAAATCACATAAATAGGTACCGCTCAGCAAGAGCAACCTAGTTCATAATAATTGAACAATGAATAATATGTGAAGGTTATTCACATATTAAATAAAATTTAAACGCGGGATTCAATCCCGGTTCATGACTGTCGCACCCCAGCTATCCCGATTTGGGAAAGTGGTCAGGGTCAGCCATACCAAAGTGCAATGGAAAGGCCTCTCCTGAGGGCACGGGAATCTTGAGCTCCGTGACACCGATGACTTTTGTAAGAATCGGGGGCCATTGGAGCATTTTTTTTTTTAACAGAAAAAAAAAGTGTCCAATGCGGGAATCGAACCCGGGTCGTAGCGGTCTAAAACTAGCGGTTTAGACCATCCTTCCACCGACCTCCGATCCTTTAGTGATGCATTAAGAACAATGAATTATGTTAATCATCCTAGTAAAAAAACTTCACTGATGATGAATGAGGTACAAGACCAGTTTAGGAAAATCCAGACAAAAAGCCAACAACCTGTATACCGTGGTATCGGACTCTGGCCCTCATCAGTACAGGGATACTGCTTCGATTTCATAACAACTTGAGAGAGAGATTGAATATATACTTATTACTCTCTCTCTCTCTATCTCTATATATATATACTAGACGAATGGCCCGGGCAACGCCCGGGGTTTACCCGAGTGCGAATATATTCTAAAAACGTTGACTTGGGTGGTCGTTATTAACAGGGTGGTCTGTATAGACAGGTGGATGTATCACACAGCTGATAACAGGGTTGTCTAGAGTGGTCGCTATAGACAGGGTGGTCTGTATAGACAGGTTTATGAGAGAGGCACAAACTTACAGGTTGTTGACGCCGCAATCCCCAGAGAGAGTTTTTTTTGTTGCATCATGCTGTGACTCACACGACGACCCAAGGTCAACAGGGGTGGAGCAGCAAGCTTAAGCCTATCACCGTCTGGCGGCGCTGCTTGCGAGTTACATCTACAATTCTGCAAATAACTCTAAGGATATTCAAGATATTCAAGAAATTATTTTTCGAAAACCTTTCCGGGGATATACCTAATAATATCCCAGAATTTCATGGCGATTGGATGTATGGTTTTTGAATAACAGGGTTGTCTAGAGGGGGGCAGGGAGGACACGTATTCCCTTGCAGCCAATGAGCGCGCATTCTATCCGTGAGCTTCAGACAAACAGACAGAATAAGGCAAATATATAAGTAGATATATATATATGGACATTGAAATAAAGTAGTTTCAATCTCAATCTCTCTGCTGTCCGACTTCAGGGCAGAATGCGACATTGAACGAGACGACACCCAGTGGTATTCGTTTGATACGAACGATTTGTACTTATTTTGTTTTATACATTTTCCCCTCTCTATATAATTGACCCTATATAATTTTATATGTACATTGTAATAAATCAGTTTTAATCTCTCTCTCTCGTTTGTCTTTGGGGGAGCCTCCTGGACTGTATATAGTTTACTCTTTTAGTTTATATTTTTCATATATATATATTTTTTAATTATCCTTTTTTTTCTGATTATTTTATAATATCACCATTGACCTTTGTGTATGATGTCGATAAAATATTTTTCAATCTCAAATATTTCATTCATATAAAATTATATAAAGGTTATAGAGAAAAAATATTAAAAATTACAACCTATCCCCCGATTTACACGATAGATACGTTCCTGAGAAAAACGTGTAAATCGGGGGATAAGTGTACACAGAAATAAAAATAAAATGCATTGACAGGTTAAAATATGTAGTCAGCACATAAGTTCGGGATTCCTCGTGAGATGTGTACACAGCGCATGTGTTCAATCACAGTAGCATTTAGTATAGTGCGATAAAAACAAAAACTTATTTGGAAAACGGTGTAAAAGCGAAAACGTGTAAAACAAGTACCGAGTAAATCGGGGGATAAGTGTATTTATATCAGACGAATCCCACTGAGGGTCGTCTGGTTCGAGATAAAGAGATATCGCATTATTGCCTTATAAAGAGGCAAAGAGAATATGGTTTTACGAGCCACTAACCAAAGTGTATGAATTTTGAGCCCAAAAAGAGGTAAAATTACGGAATCCAATTAACTATTAAGTTTTGTGCACGGCACCATTTTATGCACACGGCACGAATATACTACCTGATCACACGTATCATTATAAAAAAATCAAAACATGTGATTGTTCGCAGATAAAAAAAAAGATAAAACATGTTTACTCAAAATGTAAATTATCTGAGAGCATACAGGTTCTCTCTAATAATATAATATACTAGCGGATGTGCCCGGCTTCGCCAGGGTTTTACCCGAGTGAATGTTTGTCTAACGAACATTTGTTAAAACAATTCTCTATAAACTTATAAAACGTACTCGGCTTCGCCCGGGGTTTTACCCGAGTAAAGGTTTGTCTAGAGAACATTTGTTAAAACAATTCTCTAAAAACTTATTAAAAAAAAAAGATATATTTTGATAATTTGAAACTCGTAAATTTGAATCTCTCGATAAAGTGAACATTTTTTCCCGGTCCCTGTGTGCCGTGTCATCCTGAATTTTGTCTTTCCTAATTTTCTACATTAGAAAATCATAGTTTTATCTAGTGAACATTTTTTTCCCGTGTCACATTGCCGTGTCATCCTGAGATAATCTTACTTTTGATAAATAATATTTAAGATAACAAACTTAGTGATAAGAAAACTTGTTATCATCGTCACAATGGGGGCGCTGCTTGCGAGTTAAATCTACAAATCTGCAAATAACTCTAAGGATATTCAAGATATTCAGGAATTTATTTTTCAAAAACCTTCCCGGTGATATACCTAATAATATCCCAAAATTTCACGGCGATTGGATGTATGGTTTTTGAATCTATAGAGTACAGACAAACAGACAGACAGACAGACATTCAATTTTATATATATAGATAGATTCACTCTTCATTGTTGGCTTTTTATCTTACATTCATTCTTCTTTGTTGGCTTTTTATATTACATTCACTTTTCATTGTTGGGTTTTTATCTTACATTCATTCTTCATTGTTGGCTTTTTATATTACATTCACTCTTCATTGTTGGCTTTTTATCTTACATTCACTCTGTTGGCTTTTTATATTACATTTACTCTTCATTGTTGGCTTTTTATCTTACATTCACTCTTCATTGTTGGCTTTTTATATTATATTTACTCTTCATTGTTGGCTTTTTATCTTACATTCATTCTTCATTGTTGGCTTTTTATATTATATTTACTCTTCATTGTTGGCTTTTTATCTTACATTCATTCTTCATTGTTGGCTTTTTATATTACACTAGCGGATGTGCCCGGCTTCGCCCGGGTTTTACCTGAGTGAATGTTTGTCTAACGAACATTTGTTAAAACAATTCTCTATAAACTTATAAAACGTACTCGGCTTCGCCCGGGGTTTTACCCGAGTAAAGGTTTGTCTAGCGAACATTTGTGTTAAAACAATTCTCTAAAAACTTATTAAAAAAAAAAGAAGATATATTTTGATAATTTGAAACTCGTAAATTTGAATCTCTCGATATATTGTTATCATCGTCACAATGGGGGCGCTGCTTGCGAGTTAAATCTACAAATCTGCAAATAACTCTAAGGATATTCAAGATATTCAGGAAATTATTTTTCAAAAACCTTCCCGGTGATATATCTAATAATATCCCAAAATTTCACGGCGATTGGATGTATGGTTTTTGAATCTATAGAGTGCAGACAAACAGACAGACAGACATTCAATTTTATATATATAGATAGATTCACTCTTCATTGTTGGCTTTTTATCTTACATTCATTCTTCATTGTTGGCTTTTTATATTACATTTACTCTTCATTGTTGGCTTTTTATATTACATTCACTCTTCATTGTTGGCTTTTTATCTTACATTCACTCTGTTGGCTTTTTATATTACATTTACTCTTCATTATTGGCTTTTTATCTTACATTCACTCTTCATTGTTGGCTTTTTATATTATATTTACTCTTCATTGTTGGCTTTTCATCTTACATTCATTCTTCATTGTTGGCTTTTTATATTATATTTACTATTCATTGTTGGCTTTTTATCTTACATTCATTCTTCATTGTTGGCTTTTTATATTACATTTACTATTCATTGTTGGCTTTTTATCTTACATTCACTCTTCATTGTTGGCTTTTTATCTTACATTCATTCTTCATTGTTGGCTTTTTATATTACATTCACTCTTCA